GAATTTTAAATCTAAATTTTGAAAATAATTGAATTTTTAGAGAAATTTTATTAAAATTCTGTATATGTAATTGAATTTTCTCGATCAATTTCATTAAAATTGTATTAAAAACAATTAAGTTCCAACGAAGCATTTTATTATTTCTTTTGAAAATAATTGAATTTTTTGAGAAATTAAATTAAAAATGTAGGGGAAATAATTGAATTTTTAGGTAAATTTTATTAAAATTGTATTAAAAATAATTAAGTTCCAACGAAGAATTTTATTATTTTTCATGACAATAATTGACTTGTTTTACAAAATTTTATTGAAAATTTTTAAAATAATTGAATTTTTTGAGAAGCTTTATTAATTAAAATTGTATTTAAAATAATATGAATTCTTCAAAAGAATTTTATAACTTATGAAAATAATTCAATTCTTGTGATGAATTTTATTAAAATTGTAAATAATTGAATTTTCTTGAGCATTTTATCAAAATTGTATTAAAAATAATTGAGTCCCTTGGAGAAATGTTATTATTTATGAAAATAATTTAATTTTTAACAAGAATGTAATTAAAATTTTTAAAAATAATTAAATTCTTTCAAGAAATGTAATTAAATTAATAAATAAAAATAATTGAAATCTTGCAAAGAATATTATTAAAATTTTTCAAAATTATTGAATTCTTTTGAAGAATTTTATTGAAAATTTTGAAAATACAGAATTGAATTTTATCTTTGAGAAGGATAGAATTTTTTTTTTATAATCTTTCACAAGTTTTAAACGTTTAAATGAACGAAGTATTTTTTATTAAATTATAAATGACTGATTGCAATAAAAATTAAAAATTTGAATTTAAAAAATTTATAAAAAATATTTTTGGTATTTTTTTTTGGTATTAATTTGAAGAATAAATGTAGGTAAATAAATTGGGGATCATTTTTAAATCTCCTTATCTCCAATAATATTAATGAATACACAAAAAAACACTTCTAACGCTATATAAAAACTTCACTTTCCAAAAAGACATATTCGAATAATTATACAAAGATCTTGAAACAAGTTAACATATGAAATATGCTATACACGCATGGAGATAATCTCCTCATGCTTTATGTATTAAGTGTTCATGAGGGAAGCCACAGGAAGTAAAAGGAACAATTCTCATGAAATATTAAGATCCCAACACTAAATTTTAAAGGAGATCTCCCTCTTTTTTTTCATTCAAAACAATTAAATTCTATATACAAATAGGATTAAAAACAATACCACCTTAAAATTTATATTTTATAAAATTATAACACCTTTAGAGGAAACTATAATTTTAAGCTCGCGCGCAAAAATCCTTGAATTAAATTTAAGAAAAAAAAAAAAGTTGTATTTTATGTAACGTTATTGCTCCGGATTCGCCAAACAGTTTTGAATCACTAAATACGCGGATATAAAAATCGAACATCGTTAATCTTCACGTCACGCTCGTTTTATTAGATCAAAAGCTTTAAAAAAGATATCAACGCGTGTGACACCCCATTTTATATTGACATTCTCGAAAATAAAAAAATTTCTCCTTCAAAAACATCTTATTTTCGAATATGTAGTATCGGAAATTTGTTACGTCCTTTGGTAATAAAAAAAAAATGATCCTGTCGTTTAATGTCGAAAATGAAGGTTTATTTTTTCATATGTGTTTTATTGGCATTAATATTTGTTTAATTAATATTTTTTATAATTTTCAAAAATTTTAATAAACTTTTTGGGAACAATTCAATTATTTACGAAAATTTTCACAAAAATTCCACGAAAGAATTCAGTTATTTTTATAATAAATAATAAAATTTTTCCTAGGAATTTAAATATATTCAATTACATTTTAAAAACATTTTTCGAAAAAATTCAATTATTTTCCAAAATTTAATTAGATTTCTTCTCAAGAATTCAGTTATTTTCATAATAAATAATAAAATTCTTCCGAAAAATTTAAATATTTGCAATAAAATTTTAATTAACATTTTTTGAAAAAATTCAATTGTTTTCCAAAATTTTATTAAAATTCTTCGGAAGAATTCAATTATTTTCTAAACCTCTGATAAAATTCTCTATAAGGATTTAATTGTTTCCAATACAATTTATTATTATTAATTTAAAAAAAAAACTATAAAGAAAATTTTTTTCTTGGGGAATAAACTTGAAAAAATTTTTTCTCATCCTTTTCAAGGATTTTTGAGAAAAATATTCAGGCTTTTGCAAAAAAAAAAAAATTTGTTTTAACGACAGAAATACTTTACAAATAATGTTAATTTTTTAAAAAAGTAAAAAATTGAAAATCTGTTTTAAAAATAATATTGAATACCTTTTTTCTATCATTTAATTTAATTTAATTAGTTCATTTTTCTACCCGACACTATTTCATATAATATTTAATTAAACTGGCGTATAATTGGACGAGAATTGAAATTTTTGAAATTAAAGTGAAAATTTTCACACTAATTATTTAAAGTCGAATGAATAAAAGAATAAAAAAGTGAGGCATGAATATTCTTTTTTTATCGATCAAATTATTACGACCCAATTCCATTTACAATATTCAGAAATAAATTTAGCTTTTTCAATATTCAATTGAATATCAGTGATAATAATTTCAGATGAAAAGCAGTTTTAATTTGAAAATTGTCGGCAATTATAAAAATTTACAAATAAATACAGTGTACAAAAATAACTTGTACGTTTAATTAGAAGAAAATGTATTTTTAGAGGGATTATTAATTTTTTTTTCTTTTTTGAGTACTTTTTCTTGTTTTCAATTAACGAAATTTTTTTTGGTTTTAAATTAAATTTAATTATTATGAAAAATATAAAAGGGAAAATTATTTTCCTAAAGACATTTTTAAAAATAATTAAATTTTATCGAGAATTTTAATTACAAATTGCGTTAATTGAATTAATTCGGAAAATTTTATTAAAATGATTAAAAATATAATTGAATTTTTAGACAAATTTTATTTTCCAATTATATTTAAAATAATCGAATGCCTCAAATAATAGAATTTTTTAATCAGAATTCAATTATTTTTATAAATAATTGAATTCTGATAAAAAAAAATTTGATAAATGTTCTAAAAATTATTAAATTTTTATGAGAAAATTAATTAGAATTGTATTGAAAATAAATAAATTTTTATAGAGAATTTTATAAACATTTTTGAAAATAATTAAATTTTTTCAAAGAATTATATTAAAATTTTTTTAAAAAATTCGATTTTTCGAGAAATTTTATTAAAATGGTATTGAAACTAATTAAATTCTTGCAAAGGATTAAAATTTTTATGAATTGAATTCTTGCGAAAAAATTTATTTGAATATTTGAAAATAATTGAATTTCGCTGAAGAATTTTTTATTTATGAAAATAATTAATTCTTATAGAGAATAATATTATCAATTAAGTTTTGTAAATAATTAAATTCTTTTAAGAAATTTAATCAAAATTGTATTGAAAATAATTGAATTCTTATAAAGAATCATATCAAAATATTTTAAAATATTTGAATTCTTGTGAATTTTATTAAATTTTATTAAAATTTCTGAAAATAATTGAATTTTTGTCAAGAATTTTATTATTTATGAAAATATATTGAACTCTTGTGAAGAATTTTATAGAAATTTTTGAAAATAATTGAATTCTTTAGGATAATTGAAATGAAGAGTTTTAAAATTTGTATAAATTGAAAATATTGTATTTGAAAATTTATGTAGTTAAAAATTAATTCTAAAATTTGGATTTAATTATTATGACAAATAAAAAACGGAAAAAATAAATTGTCCTAAAGTTTTTGAACGTTTAATATTAAAAGAAATATTTTTTGTTCTGTAATATTTTTAAAAATTACTAGATTTGAAATGAAAAAATCGTAATTGAACATTTATTTAGTTAAAAATTCATTCTAAAATTCAATTTAATTATTATGACAAATGAAAAGCGGAAAAATATTTTTTCCTAAAGATTTCAACTTGTTATTGAAAAATATTTCAACGAAAAATTTTTTTCTACTCCAATATTTAAAAAAAAAAAATACTAGACTGCAATGGAAAATATCGTAAATGTATATTTATTTAATATTTAATCAAAAATCAATTTTTTAATTTTGAAAAACAATATTTTGTAATTAAAATTCAAATTAAGTGATAAAAATATCGACGTCCATATGAACTTTTGAAACTTCATGGACATGAAAAGAGAAAAAAAAAATGAAATAAAAAGTTAAAATTAGAATAATTTTTATTTCTCATTTTTTTCACCTTTGTACCTACGTACATATTATACATAATCCGGAATTTTTCACTGATTCAGGAAAAATTGAAATAGACTCGAATATGAAAAATATAGAGGAAGAGTACTTTTTTTTTATTCTCGAATATTATTTATCAATGGGAGGCTTTTATGTGTAAGATTTAAGCATAAAATCATCTTACTTAGTGAATAGGTACTTTTCTTCTTCTAAGAGAGCTATATAAAAAGCGCTGGGCGTAAATGTCAAATGATAAGTATGCCATTCTGTTGGCAATATATACTCTCCTGCGTAAGTGCGAGAGAACTTTCTCCCGCAGAAAATTCATTGAGTTCAAATGAACGTCATAATTTGCGCCCATTTCAAGTCTAAAGGGTCTTGTACTTTATTAATTATACTCTTTAATAATCTCGAATTTTATTATATATTCAATCTCTCCTCGCTTTATTTTTGCCAATTCTTTTTTACGACTTGGAAATTATAATCCCTTTTTTTTCATTAATTTTCTTTTGCGCGGAAATTAGAGAAGAAAAAAATTTTATTTCTCCTTCCTGTAGAATTTATAAACTGTGAGAAAAATTTTTCTTCTGTGACAAAAAAAAAATGACTGGGGACAAAAATTGATGAAATTGTTTTTTGCGAAAAAAATTGAGTTTTAAAATTTCTTTTTCTTTTTATTGATTTTTTTTACTTAAGTGAATTAATTTTCTAATTAAATGCGTGATTTACAGATTGACGGAGCCTTCTGGAAGTATTCAAGACGGAATTGGTAATTATACGACGGATGTGAAGTGCTCGTGGTTGATTGAGAGTAATCCAAATTCCACGATACGAATGCATATTGAGGAATTTGCGACGGAATGTGGTTGGGATCATTTATACATTTTCGACGGAGACAGTGTAGAGGCACCATTGCTCGGTGTCTTTACTGGATTGATGCACAAGGATGGCTACCACATCCGGAGAGTGCCGGAAGTTATAGCACGCTCCGGAAATGCTCTTCTTCATTTCTACTCAGACGTCGCATACAATATGAGTGGCTTTAATATCACCTATAAGATAAATGCATGTCCCAGCAGGTGAATATTTTTTCCTCCTTTTTTTTTCTTTCTACAATTTATAATAATTAATAACGAGCTAAACTTGGTTCACAATTATTATTTTCTTATATTGAATTCTTCAATTTTGAACGAAATTCTACAATTTCTTTTGAGAAAAATTTTCATTTAATTATTTTACTAGCATTAAAATAAAATTAGCAATTTTAAAAATAATAGAATTTAAAAATTTTCTAATTTAAATTTTTGTTGAAAACACTAAAAAAAATTCAATTTTGGAGAAATTACAAATAATTGCAGAAATTCAGTTACTTAAAAACAAATTAAATTCAACTATGTTTAAAATTTGAAAAAAATTGTCGTAAAAATCCCAATTATTATCTTTATAAATAATAAAATTCTTCTCCAAAGTTTAATTATTTTCAAAGATGTCAAAAAAATTCTTGTCCTAATTTCAATTTAATTATTTTCAAAAAATTTTCTAATTCCAATGATTTCCAATATTTACTAATTTAATAAAATTGTATAAATCATTTAATTATTTTCATAATTAATAAAAATTTCACAGAAATTTTAAATTTCTGAAAATAATTCAATTAATCGAGTAATTTAATTGGAATTGTATTGAAAAAAAATTAAATTTTTGTAAAAAATTTTATCAAAATTGTTATAAATAATTCTACTTCTTGGAATAATTGTTTTAAAATTTTTATAGAATAATTAAAATTTTTTTATTTATGAAAATAATTGAATTTTTGTGAAGAATTTTTTTATTTATGAAAATAATTGAATTTTTGTGTAGAATTGTATTATTTATGCAAATAATTAAAATTCTGCGAAATTTATGGATTTTTTGACTTTGGACATTTTTATTTTGGATTTTTTGTATTTTAGACTTATTTTCTTGAATTTTTCGATCTGCATTTTTTTAATTGGATTTTTTGTCCTGTAATCATTTTATTGTATCGTATTCTTGAATTTTTAACGAAATTTTGCAATTTCTAGGAGAAGATATACTTTAGAATTATTCTTCACTTTACATTTTTTTCAATTTTTTCACTTTGGTAAAATTTACAACGTTTATGATTAGCGATTTAGAAGAAAAAAATATTTTTTGAAGCAAAATTTTACAGACTTTTGTATAAAAACATTTTTGGAAAGTTTCTTGATCCAATATTTGTGGAAAAAATTTTTTAAACAAAGAAATTTTGTTATTTTCCTTTTAGAAAATATATTTTTTTTAATCGTTGATCGTAAACGTTATGAACTTCACCAAATTCCTTTTTTTATTCATAAAATTCATTAAATTTTCAATTTTTTCTGTAGAAAGAGAATTAGTTTAATTAAAAATTACGTTTTTTTAAAATTAAATATCGTATTCTTGAATTTTGAACAAAATTCTGCAATTTCCTGAGAAGATGTAATTAAATTGGAATTATTTTTTATTAATTACAGTATTCTTCCTTTTATTTTGATTCCAAAATTTGTTTACATTTTTTATTTGTAAAATTTTAATGAAAATAATTGATTTTTTTTCAAGTGTTTGATTAAAATTTTTGAAAAACAAATTTTAAAGAATTTTAATTGTTAAATTTTCAAAATAACTGATTTCTCAAAAATTTTTATGAAAAAGCTTCAAATGGAAATTTTAAAATGAGAGTTAATGAAAATTGGAATCCAAAAGTTTATTCAAATATTTAAAAAAAAGTAATTCTTAGAATTTTTTCTAATTTTTGAAAATTCCTTTATTTTTAATATTTTTAATTAGTTTTTCAAAAATTCAAATGTTTACAAAAAATAATTGCAATATATTGTTTAAAATTATTATTGAAATTTTGTAGAAATCACCTTTAAAAATTTTATTTGAAACATTTTTCAAAAAACTAATTACTTTTTTTAAATTTGTCCAAAAATTCTTTGAATCTATGAATAATATTATTATTTTTTGAATTTTTAATAAAATCCATGACAAGGTACAGTTAGAATTATTAAAAAAAATTCTAATTTTCTTATTTAAATAATTAAATACTCGAAGAACTTTTGGAAAATTATTTTAAATAATTAATTTAGAGAAGGAATTTAGTTAGAACTTGTAGGAAAAAGTGAAATTTTTGAAAGAGTTAAACTTGATTGGTATCATAATTTTTTTATTTAATTATTTTATTTTTACAAAAAAAATTATTTTTCATATTAAAGATAATATTCCTAACTAAATAAATGTTTAATTTTAATTATTTTTCTCTATTGTACAGTAATTTTAAAAAATATTTAAATGAGAAAAATTTTCGTTCATTTGAACTTTCAAAACTGGGAAAAAATAAATTACCAATTTCTAAATTTTGTTTTTGGAAAAATACAAGACAGAATGTAAATTAGCAAAGTTTGATACAATTTTTATTTTTGTTTGCAGAAGAATTAAATTAGCAGTCTAATACAATTTTTTTATTTTTGTTTACAGAACAAATAAATATTAAAAAATGGAGATTAAAAATTTTAAAAATAATACAAAAAAAGAATTCAGAAAAAGAGTAATGTAAGAAGCAAATGATATAACGAGCAAATTGTTAAGTAGGTACTGATTATTTATCTCGGAGGTCACAATCAAAATTTGATGATTATAATTTTAAAAAAAGAATGTTTTGAATTAATTTTGATTCTGAAAATAATTTATCTAAATTTATCTCCACTATCTTTCGAAAAGAGATTTCTTTCTTTCTCGAATGAATACAGTTTGCTATTTTCCTTTAACAACATTCATAAAAGTTTATTTTCTCGCTTTTTATCTTTTAACACCTTAATTCCTTAATACATGCCATATAGCACGTACTTTATTTTTTATTACAGTGTTGTTAAAACACGTATATATAAAGTATATAGTAAAAGTGACAGGAATTTCAAGAAGCAATACTGAAACATTTGAATCTTTATGGTCTCTCTTTTTTTCCAACTCATATTGAATATATGCATAATTTTTATATTTATATAATATCAAACAAAAAAAAAAAAATAGAAAAAGAAAAAGGTAATTGGATTTTGTTGTGCAGGTATTGCTTTTTAATAAGTCTGTTTACGTTCCAAGGAACGGTTCAATTATCGATGGAGTATGAACTCATGTTCCCCTTTTTGCACAGCACGGTTTCTTATAGGTTGTTAATCTAAAACTTTAACAGGCTATTTATTCACATGACCATCGACGTTAAAATAAAAAAATCACTGTAAAACTTTTATTTCTCCTGGTGTACTTTGACCTCCGAGTTCCTTTTATTCAATATTCTATTATATTACTTTTATACCTTCAGAGAAATAATCGTTATATCATTCGCGATTTTTACTGTACAGTAAATTTTTTTATATTATACGAGAAAGAAAAAAAAAATTTTCCATTTCGTTTCGTGTAAAATTTGCGCAGAAAAGAGAGAAATTTTATTGTCTACTTTGAAAAATAAATTTTACAAAAATTCTTTTATATGAATATAAAAATTTACAAGTAATAAAAGGAAGAAAAAGAGTTTTAATTTTGAAAAAGTATGTTTAAATTTGAAAATATTAACTTTGAGTAATATTTATCAGGGGATTTTGAATGGTTTCTTGTTAACGCACAACTTTAAATGGCTTCTTGAGGTTTTTTTTCTTTATTGTTATTGTTCTTATAATTATTAATATTTTTATTATTATTAATATATTTACTACCTATTATTTTTTTTATTATTATTGCAACTAGAATAACTATACGCGCGTGGAATTTTAATACTCGTTGTTAGTTATAAAAAATTTCTTTTTTAAATTTAATACCTAAAATTTAAAATTTTCAAAAAGTATAATTTTTTGAAATATAATTCTCCAAAAATACGATTCAATTATCTTTAAAAAAATTTTAATTACAGTTTTTCAAAAAACTAATTTGTTTTTAGAAATTCTACGTATTACATTATTCAAAAATTCCATAATTTTTTGTTAAACAAATATTTAAAAATCTATTGTTATTTATTTTATTGGATATTTTAAATATTTTCATTATAAAACCTTTTGAAATTTAATTGTTTCTAAAAATTACAACTGCAATTTTTTCAAAGGCAATTAATTTTTAGAATTTTAAAATAAATTTATTCAAAAATTTAATCATTTTTAAAGGAAAATAATAAATTAATAATTTTTTAATTAAACATTCAAATATACTTTTATGGCGATTTCAATTTAAGAACCTTTTAAAATTTAATTATTTCTTAAAATTCCTGTTATAACGCTTTTAATGTTCAATTATATTTCGAAATTTTATTCTTTTTTAAATCAATTCATATTTGAATTCAACGATAATTGAATTATTTAAATATAAAAATTTTTGTAAAATTTAATTATTTTTCAAATTTTTAGTTACAATTCTTCATATTATTATTTAAAAATAATTTTTAAACGTGAGAAAATAAAATTCTTTAATATTTGAGAAAATTTTCAATTTTTAAAAATTATTTTCGGAAATTCAACTACAAAAAATTTTAATTACGATTTTTTAAAAACCTCATTTTTTCGGAATTTCTAAATAAAATTTTTCAAATTCTATTAATTTTCGTTTAATAAATATTTGAATACTTATTGTTATTTATTTTTCCACCAGGAATTAATAATTAAAAATACTTTCATTGTAAAATGTTTTGAAATTTAATTATCTCTAAGAATTTTTGAAATATTTTCTAAAATTTTAACTGAAATTCTTTTTCAAATCAATTTTTATCGAAAAGTTGTACGAGAATTCAATTATTTGATTACAATAATAAGTGATAAATAATTGATAATTTCTTTAAAAATTGCAACTGTAAATCTAGTTATGGATTTTTTTAATTTGAGAAAAAAGAATTCATAGACTAAGTAACTTCACTTGAGGGCAGAATATCTTGATTGTTATTAAATAATTATTATATTAATTTTATTATTATAACTACTAGAATTATTACTATTTATTATTCCTTTTATTATTAAAGAAAAAGACCTCGTTATTACAGTTCCCGAGATTTGATTATGATTCTCGTCTAATTCAAGAAAGAATTGCCGAAACTTTTTTTCTCTTATTCAACTCTAGTTTCTCTCAGTACTTCTCATTAAAGACAATGCCTCAAAAAGTATTAAATTGTTCCTGATTGGAAAAAGTAAGAAAAATTTTCAAGATGTATAATTTTTAAATTGCACGATTCTTAATTTTATTCATTTATAGAAAAGAAAAATAGAGAAGAAATTTACAGATAAATAAAACTTTCAATAATCAAAAAATAGTTTTCAAATTTTTTTCGTTAAATGTTGATTAAATATTTACACTTAATATAAAATAAAAATACTTAAAACCGAAATATTTAATTATTTAAATAAATTGAAAGAATTATAAATTAAAATTAAATTTATTATTTAAAGGCATTAATTTCATTGTAGGAAAAAATTTGTATTTCATTAAGTAATTTGAGTTTCAGAGGAAAATTATTAACGTCCGTGGCATTTAGGAGAAACTTGTCATGCTTAAGTGAAATCCTAGACATTGTCTTATTGAGAAAAAAAAAATTGAAGTAATATGATTATCATTTTTACGTAATGGTAGAGAGACTTGTGTAACTTGAAAAAAAGATAATAATAAATAATAAATCGCGATACGTGTCATATGGATGGGTTTTGAAAATTCTTTTTTCCCCATTCATGGATTGTACGGAAAAACATTCGAGGTCTTGTTCTAAATTCTGGAGGGTGAATATTTGTTTGTTTTTTCTTTCTTTTTTTTTGGAAAAGAGGGACAACTTACATTATAATGTCGTATTCAACTCACATGCTTGATTTTTTCATTTCTTTCATTTTCTATTTTTCTCCCCCTATAGATATTCGCATGCAGACTGTTCCGGACATGGTGTTTGCATAGAGGGGGTGTGTACGTGTGACGCCACGTGGACTGGGGAAGCCTGTGACGAGCAAGTCTGTCCCAACAATTGTTCAGCTCACCATGGTCAGGGCGAATGCAATCGAGAGAAGCACCACTGCGAATGTGCTCGTGGATTCAAAGGTAGAAAAAAAAACCACGTCACATAATGCCCCGATAAGATCAGTCACGTTCATTTTCCAATAATAAAAAAAAGGCGAGAGAGAGAGAAGAAAAAATTCAAGAATTTAATATACACAATTTTTATTTTCTACTCTAATTTAATAGTAGAATTTAATTTAAGTAATTTCATTTTATTTCATTTAATTTTCTCTTTATCATTTTTTTTACTGACTCATTTTACTTTAATCAAATTTTTTATTCTAATCAAAATTAAATTTTTCTTCACTCTGATTTTTTCACTCCAATATTAATTTATTTTGATTTTTGCATTTCTCGTCGACTTTCGTTATTTTATTTTAGTTATTTTTATTAGATATATCTCAATTCAATTTTTTTTATCTGTGATTAAAATTAAAAATTCCGCTCCAATTTCAGTTTAAACTTCTAGTGCGACTATTTTTTTAATTAAAATTTTTCATACAAATGATTTTTTTATACTTTTTGCAAAACTGTTGTAGAGTATTTTAAAATTAATTTTTTAAAAGTTTCTTTAAAATTTTTTTTTATTTAAATTTATTTTAAATACAATTTTAATAAAATTCATTGCAAGAATTGAGATATTTTCATAAGTTTCATAATTTCTTTTAATAGAATTCAATTCTTTTCAATAAATTTAATAAAATTTTTCTCAAGAATTCAATTATCTTCATAAATAATAAAATATGAAAGGAAATTTTATTTTTAAATTTCTTAATGAACTTTAAAAAATGTTAATAATATTCCTTGAAAGAAATCAATTATTTTAAAAAATTTTAATAAAATTCCTAGAGCAAATTCAATTATTTTTCATTTCTTTTAAATACAATTTTAATAAAATTCGTCAAAGGAATTGAATTCATAAATTATAAAATTCTTCAGATGATTTGATAAATTCTCAATTAAATTTTAGTAAATTAAATTTCTTTTAATAGAATTCAATTATTTCTAAAACTTTCAATAGCATTCCTTGAAAATATCCAATTATTTTTCATTTATTTCAAATACAATTTTAATAAAATTCGTTGAGAGAATTGAATTCATAAATTATAAAACTCTTCAGATGATTTCATAAATTTTCATTTAAATTTTATTAAATTAAATTTCTTTTAAATTGAATTATTTTCATAAATTATAATATTCATTGGAAGAATTCAATTATTTTAAATACAATTTCAATAAAATTTCTTGAAAAAATTCAATTATTTTCAGAAATTTTAAAATTAAAAAATTTTAGAGAAAATTAAAAATTAAATTCCTTGAAAGAATTCAATTATTTTCATAAATACTAAAATTTTTTTCTGGTGCTTAATTATTTTTAATATTTTTTAAAAAAAAAAATTATCGAGAAAATTCTATTGTATATAATTTTAATCAAAATCGTCACAAGAATTGAATTATTTTTTTCATAAATTATAATATTCATTCGAAGAATTTAATTATTTTAAATACAATTTCAATAAAATTCCTTGAAAAAATTCAATTATTTTAAGAAATTTTAATGAAATTGTTCGCAAAAAATCAATTATTTTTAGAAATTTTAATCAAATTCGCAAGAATGAAATTATTTTTTAAATATTTTGATATAATTCTTTATAAGAATTCAATTATTTTTAATACAATTTTAATAAAATTCGTCACAAGAACTGAATTATTTCAATAAGTTATAATATTCTTTGGAAGATTTCAATTATTTTAAATACAATTTTCAGAAAATTTCTCTAAAAATTCAATTATTTTCAAAAATTTGGTTTAAAATTCTCCCAAATAATTCAATTATTTTCAAAAATCTTCGTAAGATTTAAATTGTTTCAATTTAATTTTAATTAAATTTCTCTGCAAGAATTTAATTATTTAAAAAAAATTTCAATAAAATCTTCCAGACAATAAAGTAATTTTTATTTGATTTAAGTCAATTAAATTTTATTTGCTTCAAATACTAAGGTTATTGGTTCAAATATATTTTTTTTTACTCAATAATTATTTCATTCAAGTTTATATAATATATTCTACGAAACAATTCAATTCTTTTCAAAAATTATAATAAAATTGTATGCAAGAATTTAATTATTTCAAATTCGAAGTTATAAAAGTAAAATTCTAATCAAAATTAAATTTTTCTTCTCTCTGTTTAATTCTTTCACTCTAATTTTAATTTATTTTGATGTTTTGATTTTTCGTCGACTTTCGTTATTTTATTTCAGTTATTTTTATTATCTCATTACAATTTTTTTTATCTCTAATCAAAATTAAGAATTTCGCTCCAATTTCAGTGAAACTTCTAGTGCGACTAATTTTTAAATTAAAATTTTCCATATGAATGCTGTTTTTATAGTTTTTGAAAAAATGTTTTGAAAATAATTTTTAAAATTAAAAACAACCATAAAAATCCTGTTTAGTTGAGGAAAAAAATGACCAATTAGGAAAATGATTCATGGAGTCATTAAATAAGCGTAAAAAACAATTTTTCTCAGAATTTCGCAAATTATTTTTAAACATAACGTTTGCGTAAATTGACGAAAAAAGTGTCGTTTCTCTTTTACTTTTTTTTTTTAACTTAAGAAAAAATTCGAGATCCATCGCCATAAATTGTTACACTTTGAAAGGTATTTTATTGGCTAATAAATTGTAAAATAAAACTATTTTGTCGCAAGGTAAAATTCTCTCACTTTTGATAATGAAATATTAACTTTGTGATAATAGGGGGAAAAAAAGGGATAGGAGAAAAAAATGAAAACTCTCGGCAATATATTTGAGTTCAACGTACTTTTAAAAGGCACTCTAGTATATAAAAACCTCTCATATTCCGTTAAACAGTAGTAATAAAGTAAACGAGAGAAGTAAATACGGGGAGACTTGGTTGAACGAAATGTGTAAGAAACTTGTTTGTATGTAAAGAAAATTAGTAAAAAAAGAAAATAGTAAAAAAGAAAAAAACATAAATAAAATAACTTCGTGTGTAGAGACATCAGTAACCGTGAAAATATAATTGGTAGCTTCATTTTTTTATGTTGTGTTGCGCGATTCATAAACAAAGACAAGAGTTTTGTAAAGCAGTCTCCTCGTGAGCGCATGTGCGTATAATTTTGTTTAATGCTTCTTTTTGCTAATGAGGAACAAAAAAAAAAGAATAAGACTCCTCGTTAATTGAGCCTCCCACGCGTTATTGAAGCTCTCAATTCACGGTTGGAGGACAATGACGTCTGACGTTAAATCGATTTGTTAATTAGACTCTTCTCACTCCGAGTTTATCGATTAGAAGCTCTTAATTTATTTCATTCATTATTTCTTTTAGCCTCTTGCAAATTGGCATTCTACAATCTAAATCGATACACAAATTAAAAAATTTCACTTAATTAACGTGGCGAGAATTTAATTTTATTTTCGATACCGAAGAAACTTGCTATTCGAAATTTGAATTTAATTTGAATTCAGAAATTGGGATTTAAGAATTTAGAAAATTAGTATAATGGCAAAAAATATAAAAAGCAAATCTGAAGAAAATAAAAACAAATTGGTTATCAATTTGTTTTTTTACGATTATATTTAATATTTGGTACTTGATTTTGTTTATTAAAAGGGATTTTTTTCTATGTTCAGGATCAGACTGCAGTCAGAGAAGTGAGCGCGGCTACTGGGAATCCATCACGTACAAGGATTTTTCCCCGGAAGGCTCAGCCAGTCACTGTGCGATAGTTTGGAGGGATTCGCTTTACGTGGTGGGTGGCGAAAGTTTTCATCGGGCGAAAATGATCTATGTCTACGATTTCAATGGAAATGTTTGGGAAACTCCTCACGTCGAGGGAAAACTTCCACTGCCACGTTATGGTCATTCCTGCGTTCTCTTTGGGGACAAAATTTACTTGTACGGTGGCGTCATTCAAAATTCGACAGTAACCAACGAATTGTGGGCATTTGATGTTTCGGCCAAAGTTTGGGAGAACGTCACCGTTCATGATGAATGCAGCAATCGTTCCATGTGCGGTCCACTCAAGGTTTGTAGGGGATAAAATTAATTTTTTACACTATGCATTCAGAAAATAAAATTTGAAATATTATTATATTATAGGCTTGTAAATTTATTGGAAATTATTTTCAAACTAGCAAATGTTAATTTAATAACGTTAATAATTTTAATAATTTCTAATTTCTTATTATTATGTAAATTACAAATTTTTTTATTTTCAAAAATTTTGATACAATTCTGAAGAAGAATTCAATTGTATTCTATAGGTACAATTTTAACTTAATTCTTTGAAAGAATTTTGATTTTTTTAAAAATAATTCAATTATTATTTTCAAAAAATTTTAAAAAAAAGTCGAAGAATTTAATTATTTTTTATACAATTTAAAATCATTTTCTCGAAAGTATTTAATAATTTTCAAAATTTTTTGATAATATTTTTTATAAGAATTCAATTACTTTCATAAATAATTAAATTATTCTCAAAAAATAAATTTTTTTAAGTAAAATTTTAATAAAAATTGAATAATAATTCAATTATTTAAAAAAATTTAAATAAATTTTTCCAAAAATTCAATTATTTAAAAAAATTTAAACAAATTTTTTCAAAAAATTCAATTATTTAAAAAAATGCAAACACATTTATCCAAAAAATTCAATTATTTAAAATATTTAATGAAATTCTTTGCAAGAATTCAATTATTTTATAAATAATAAAATTCTTCACAGAAATTCGATTATTTTCAATACAATCTTAATTGAATTCCTTGAAAGAATTGAATTATTTTTAAAAATCTTAATGAAATTCTCCTTAAGAATAAAATAATTATTTTCATAAATAATAAAATTCTTTGCTGGAACTTAATTATTTTTAATGCAAATTTAATGCAATTTTAATAAAATTCGTCAGAAAAATTGAATTATTTTCATAAATTATAATATTCATTGGAAGAATGCAATTATTTTAAATACAATTTTAATAAAATTTTTCTAAAAATTCAATTATTTTTTTAAATTTCATTAAATTCCATGAAAGAATTAAATTATTTTCAAGAATTTTAATGAAATTTTTCACAAGTATTCAATTATTTTTATAAATAATAATATTCTTCACAGAAAGTTGATTATTTTTAATACAGTCTTAATTAAATGCCATGAAAGAATTGAATTATTTTAATAACTTACAATATTCATTGGAAGAATTCAATTATTTTAAATACAATTTTAATAAAATTTCTCTAAAAATTCAATTATTTTCAATACAATTTAAAATAATTTCCTTGAAAGAAGTTCAATTTACAGCGAAATAATAAAATTATTTAAAAAATTTCAATAAAATTTCTTGATGGAATTTAAAAGATTTCAATAATATTCCTTAAAAGAAATCAATTATTTTATAAAATTTTGATAAAATTCTTTATTAGAATTGATTTCTATTTAATAATATAATTTCTTTAAAGATTAAATTATTTTCATATATTTTTTAAAAATATGTTTATTAGAATTGAATTATTTAAAAAAATTTTAAAAAAATTCGTCTCAAGAATTCAATTATTTTCATAAATACTAAACTTCTTTGCTAGAACTCAATTATTTTTAATATTTTAATCAAATTTCTAGAGAAAATTTAATTATTTCTCATGTATTTTTAATAGAATTTTAATAAAATTTGTCGTAAGAATTGAATTATTTTCATAAAAGATTATAAAATTCTTCGGTTATAAAGTTATAAATTTCTTCTTAATTAATTTTCAGTACAATTTTAATAAATTTTCTTTTCATAGAATTCAATTATTTTTAAAAACTTCAATAAAACTCTTTGAAAGAATTTAATTTTTAAACATTTTAAGAAAATTTTTTAGAAGAATTCTATTAATTTTAGTGCAATTTGTACTAAATTACTAGAAAAAATTGAAGTATTAAAAAAAAGTTTGTAAGAAAATTCGTCGAAACAATTCATTTCTTTTCAAAAATGTTAATAAAATTCTTTGCAAAAATTTAATTATTTCCGATTCAAAGTTATAAAATTAAAAAAATTAAAATAATAAAAATAATATTGTTTTTAACTAAAATATGATGTGTAAAATGTGTAATGTGTGTGTAAAATGAAATCCAGTAATTAAACAAAATTATGGAAAATAATATAATTTCTGATTTTCTTTACGTAAATATTTTTAAAAAATTTATTCTTTGAATAAGCAAATAATAATTTTCTGAGTCTAAATAAATCTAAAAAGTAATTTCTTAATTTTACATGGAACAAAACGTAAAAATATATAAGATCCAGTGTTTTGTTTAATGAAATAAATATCATAAACCATATTTTGGAGTAATAAAAATCAGATTTACTACAATAAGTACGTATTTTTATTTTATAAGTAGTTATTTTTATCTTTTAAAGTGTTGAATTAAATTTACAAATTAAATTATGATTTTTAGTTGAAAACAATTTTGTTTAATTAATTGTTTTTTTATCTTCGAAGCATTAAATTAAATTAACAAATTTCAGGTGGCGGGACACACGGCAAATCTAGTTCACGGGAAAACGGAGAAAATGGTGATAATATTCGGTCACTCGCCACAATATGGTTACTTGAATACCGTTCAGGAGTATCATTTTGGAACACGTGAATGGCAAATAGTGGAGACTTATGGTTTCCCGGTGAAAGGTGGTTATGGACACAGTTCGGCACACGATCCATTGACAAATCTTATTTACGTTTATGGTGGTTGCATTTCGGAGTCACAACTTTCGCAAACACTAACGAGTAGATTGTACTCGTACAATTATATGAGACAAGAATGGAGACTACTGACTTCCGCCCCATCGGCACGATTCTTCCACACTGGAGTTTTCATCACTAGTGGCATGATGATTGTATTCGGTGGTAATACGCACAATGATACACTTCATTCGCATGGCGCGAGATGCTATTCGTCCGATACAATTGCCTACGATGCAATTTGCGATTCTTGGCATCAATTTCCAATGAAGTGGCAAGGCTCGCCTGATAAGTGGGAAGATTCGCCCAAGGAAATGGTCAATCTTCCACGATATGGACACAGTTCGACGGTTTTTGAGAAATCAATGTATATTTATGGTGGTTTCGATGGACAAATGCTCTCTGATATGCTCAGGTATTTCTATTTTTTATTTGCATCGTTTATGTCAATTTTTATTTTGAGGAAATCAATCGTTACCTTGTGATTAAATATTCTGATAATTGGGTAACAATAAAATTATCTAATCTGTGTCCCGAATATCTTAGTATTCATGATATTAAATATAATATTTAGTATTAAAATATTAGACTTTTTGGTATATAATGCAACTTATTTCGATTTTCGTAGTGTGAAAAATAATTAAAGTCAAATCTTTTCCTGTGAGTCGATTAGGTAAATTCATTTGACTTTCACATAAGAAATAATTTATTTTCAGTTTTCTTTTCATTTTCAAAGATTTATATTTTCATGTTTACTTTCCCTTTGAAAGATTTTCACTTTCAATAATTTACTTTTATATTTTCATCAATTTTATTTCCACTTAGAAATGGAATTGAAGAATATTTATGGAAAGTAAAAGTGAATATGAAAGTAAAAATTATTACCTGTTAAAATGGAAGTGAAAATAAACATTTCTAAAAGTGAAAATGAAAAAGAAAATAGAATTTAATAAATTTATTGAACTAAAAAAAATTAAATGTTTGTATTTGAATACAAGAATAATTGATTTGGAAAAGAAATTTTAAAAAATATTCTAGAAAATAATTGCTTCTTATTGTCAAATTTTCTTTTAGATATAATTAAATTTCCTAAAGATTTCAAATTAAAATTTAGAATTTTTAGTAAGTTTAATTACTAATTTTAAAGAACTTAGTTTTCTGAAAAATTTTAGTTCCAATTTTTTTGAAATTAGCAGAATTTTTAAATAATTTAATTTTAAAAAAAGTCGAGTAATCTTGAAATTTCGTAAATAAAGTATAAAAAGTTGAATTTTAAACGAATTTAAAAAATAATTGATTTAAAGAAAAGATTAAAAATTATTTGTTTTAGTTAGAAATTCTAAAAAATAATTGAATTTTGTAAAAATTAGGATAATAATTGTCAGAAATAGTTAAAAAAAAGTTTCAATTTGAAAAATGTTTAAAGATTAAAATTTTTAATATTGAAAACAAATATTTTAATACTTGTTTTAAAAAATTATTAGACTTTTAAATGGATTTAGTTAAAAATTCTATCAAATCATTGAATTTAGAAGAATTAGTTTTAATTTTTAGAACAAAATAATTAAAACTTTATTATTGAAAGAAATGTTATGTATTCTGTTTTAAAAATTTTCACAACAATTTTTAAAAGTAATCATGATTTTTGTAGAATAATATTAAAAAATATCAATAACTTACTTAAAAATAATTAAACTTTTAAAAAAAAATTTCGGATACCAGAGAAAATACAGAGAAATAAAAAATCAACTTTTTGTGATAAGTTTGAAAAAAATAACCGACTTTTTCGACTTTCTTGTAATTTAAATCGGTTAAAACGAAATTTTTAGGCCTTAAAGTTTTGTAATAATATTTATTTGCAAAAAAAATTTAGAAATTTATTTTTTTTTCTATAATTTTGCTTTAATATGTGATTTTTTTTCTATTTTAAAAGATAAAATTTTTGATAACATTTTATATGAATGTTTACATTACTATTTGTAATTTTTGTAACTTTTAAAAATTTTGAATTTGAAATTAATTCAATTATTTGATAAAAATTAATTAAAATTTTTTAAAATAATTGAATTAAAATTATAATGAAAAAATTGAATTTCGCTAAATATTTTTACTATTTATGAAAATAATTGAATTCCAGCAAAAAATGATATTAAAATTATTTTTAAATAATTGAATTCCTCTAAATATTTTGATTATTTATGAAAATAATTGAATCCCTGCAAAAAATGATATTAAATTTTTTTTAAATAATTGAATTATTACGAAGAATATTTATTATTTATGAAAATAATTGAAATTTTGCAAATAATTTTATTCAATTTTTTAAAAATAATTGAATTCTTTCGAGAAATTTAATTAATATTAAAAATAATTTAATTCTTTCGAGGAATTTAATTATTATTAAAAAAAATTGAATTCTTTCAAGAAATTGAATTATTATTGAAAATAATTGAATTTTTTCGAGGAATTCAATTAAAATCGTATTGAAAGTAATTGAATTTCGCCAAATATTTTATTATTTTTGAAAATAATTCAATCTTTGCGAAGAATTTTATTAAAATTATATACCTATCGTATTAAATATAATTAAATTCCTGAAAAAAGTATGTTATTTATTAAAATAATTGAATTCTTACGCAGAATTTTTATTATTTATGAAAATTATTGAATCCTTGGGAATAATTTTAGTAGAATTTGTAAAAATAATTGAATTCCTGCAAAGAATTTAATTATTTATGAATTTAATTTAAATTTCTATTTTAGTTATTTATATATTTTTTAAAGTAATTGTAATTTTTATAATATTTTTGAATAATTAATTCATATTATTCATTTTATTTTGCAGATACACGCCTGGAATTTGTGAGCATTTAACGTATCAAAATTGTTTGAACGCCAGAATTGGAGTAAAGTGCGTTTGGGACAGAAAGGAGAATAAATGTGTGCCAATAACAAAAATTGATAGGCGACGTGATGAGAGTTATATGAAATGCTTTGATGAAACACCATCGCGAGGAATGACATCGCTCAAGGAACTTTGTCGATTATTGACTGATTGTTCGGCATGCGTTCAAACATCATATAATTGCGTTTGGTGCGGTAAAGTTTGTTCCCATGAAATTTGTCATATGCGACTTCCGCCAGGACGCGCAGTCGTTACCGAATTAGATCAATGTGAAGCGCACACGGGAATTGAATGTCTTCAATTTCACACGTGTCAAGCATGCTCCAGTAATCCTTACTGTACCTGGTCTTGGTCCAATGGACCCGATCGATGTAAACCCATCGCCAAAAATCGAGATGTAAGTAGTCATTTTTTCATTTACTATGAAAAAATATTGTTTTCTGATAGAGGAAGATTTGTATTTACGTAATTTATTTATTTGTTTTAATTTTATTTATTATTTATTTTTTACCTTCTCAAATGAGAAGATTATTTACAAAAATGTTTTGTTTAAATTGGGTGCACAATGGAGAGAGTTTGACTTTTTTTTAAATCGTAAATTATTATATTTAATTTGTTTATTTGTCCGAAACAAAAGCTAATGGCCATCAATGTGACTCAGTCCCAGCGACTGACAATGGACACGTGTCGCAGTCCATGTGTGGAGTATACGTCGTGTAGAAATTGCACGGAATCGGAATGTATTTGGTGTCAGAATCAGGGGAAGTGCGTTGATAGAAATGCATATCCAGCGAGTTTTCCTTATGGACAATGTCGTGAGTGGACGACACTTGATTCACGTTGTCGTGCAACTGAAACGGGAAAAGAGTGGTGTAGCTTCTATTCGTCGTGCTCGAATTGTATTTCCGATCCGGCTTGTGGCTGGTGTGACGATGGCTCAGGAACGGGAAGAGGACGATGTATGAGCGGCGGAGCTCGACACTGGAACTCTGGAACAGACACATGCGTTAATGATCGGTGGTACTTCACCGAATGTCCAAGTAAATTCATTACAATCTCTTGTTACTTATAATTGTCATCATTTAAAAAATTTCTTAAATCTTTAAGACAACTTATTTTTTTCTATTTTAAATTTACTATATTTTTTCATATTTATTATTGAGTAGAAAATTTTACAAAAAGTTTATAAAGAAATATAAATATGAAAAAATATAGTAAATTTCAAATAGAAAAAAATAAGTTGTCTTGTAATAAAAGATTTAAGAAATTTTAGTAGTAGAAAAAAAATATAATTTAAATTAATAGGATACAAAATTAAACATTTAATGTTTAATTTTGTATCCTATTAATTTAAATTATATTTTTTTCTACTACTCATTTGAAATTAATTACTTAGTTACTTAATTTTTAGAAATTAATTTTAGTTGATTCATTTTTTATTGAGTTTTAATTCATTTTGATTAATTTACTTTCATTAGTATTTTCTGTATTACCAACTTTTTTCTTTTTAAGTTATTTTTCAATGTAACGTTGGTGAATTAATTTAGAAATAATTTAGTTCGAATTAATTTTCAATTCGTTTCCAATCAATTTGGAAATAATTTTCAATTAATCATTAATCAATATTAATAAATCGTTGTATTCACGTAATCTGTTTGCATTTTGAAGTTAGTTGTTTGATTTTTAGTTTCCTAACTTGTTAAATAATTTTTATTTTTAAATAAATTTTAAAATTAATGTATTGAAAATCATTTAATTGTTGAAAAGAATTTTATCAATGAATTTGAAAGAAGTTAATTCTATCGAAGAATTTTATCAAAATGTTTGAAAATAATGGAATTCTTTCGAAATATATTAATTAAATGGTATTAAAAATACTTGAATTTTCGAAAAATATTTTATTATTTATGAAAATAATTGAATTCTCGTAAAGAATTTTATTAAAAATTTGGAAAAATATAATTGAATTGTTTTGGAGAATTTCTTTGAATTTTTTGAAAATAATGGAGTTTTTTTTTAATAATTTTAGAAAATTTTATAATGATAATTAAATTTTATGAAGAATTTCTTTCAAGTTTTTAAATAATCGTGTTTTTTAATAATTGTAATTAAAAATATTTTGATTATTGAGTTTCATAAAAATTTTTAGAAAATAATTAAATTCTTCTCAGAATTATATTACAATTTTTTATATTAATTTAATTCATTCAAGGAATTTTTTTAAAATATTGAAAATAATTTTATTCTTCTGAAGAATTTTTTTAATTTCTCAAATATAATCGATTTTGTTAATAATTTGTAATGAATAATTTTATTATTAAATTTTATTGAAATTATTACTAGAAAATTAAATTTTTTTGAATAATTTTGTTAGTTTCCCTAAATAATTAAATTTTTTTTTAAATAATTTAGTTTTTTTTAATAATCTTGATTGAAAATTTTGAAAATAATTGAATTTTAAAAGGAATTTTTTTAAAACTTTTTAAAACAATTGTTTCTGTTAATAATTATAATTAAAAATTTGATTATTGGATTTTATTAATATTTTTAGAAATAATTGAATTCCTGAGAAGAATTTTATCAAAATTTTTTTAAATAATTGAATTCTTATGAAAAGTTTAAAAAAAATTTTTTTAAATAATTGAAATAATTGAGTTCCTGGCAAGAATTTTGCTGTTTATAAAAGTAATTGAATTCTTTCAAAGAATGTTGTTATTTATGAAAATAATTGAATTCTCTCGAAGAATTTTATTAGAATTGTTAAAAATAATAAAAATTAATACCTAATTAATTTATTTTGTAACTAATTAGTGAATTTTTAAAATTTTGAATCTAAAATTATTTAAAAATAAAAAATTTTGTAATTTACAGAATAAAAAAATGAATATTGTGTTTCGCGCGCGTAACGTTTTCTAGATCAGAAATAATTTTCATTAACTTAAAATTAATTTCCAATTAATTTGGAAATAATTTATAATTTAGTTTGGAATAATTTTCTTTCACTTGAAATTAGTTTTCAATTAATTTAGAAATAATTTTGAATTAATTTCGAATTAATTTAGAAATAATTTTCACTCAATTTAAAATTAATTTTCAATGAACTTAGAATTAATTTCGAATTAATATAGAAATAATTTTCATTTAATGAGAATAAATTTTTTAAGAAATTAGAATTAATTTTTAATGAATTTAGAACTAATTTCCAATGAATTTTCAGCTTGCCAATGTAATGGCCACAGTACGTGTCTTCCAAATAGCAGCGTTTGCATTCAACCATGTGCTAATTTAACGTATGGATCCCACTGTGATAAATGTATCCCTGGATATTACGGGAGTCCTGTTAATGGCGCAACTTGTCAGCGTAAGAATATAGTTTAAATTCATGAAAAAATTTAAAAGAAGAAACTCTAATATTCTCCTGACATTTGAATTTCATTTAAAATCAAATTTAAAATTAGACGAAATTAAATTTTAATTAAAACGATAAATTCAAATTAAGGAATTAAATTTAGACGTACATGTGCGGTAATTTGCATTGTAATTGGACTAATTGAAATTTAGAGCTGATTTTCATTTTCGAATCCTATTTTTGTATTTTTCCCAATGTTTTTAAGATGTTTAAAAGAAATTTTTTCAAATTGTTTTTTAAGGATTCAATTTATTGTTAAGGATTGTATTTTAAATTCTTTATTGACATTCAAAAAATAATGTTTAAATGTTTTTTCAGGTTGTTTTTGTAATGGTCAGGCCAGTCAATGCACCAGTGAAACGGGAAAATGTTTCTGTACAACGAAAGGCATTACTGGTGATCATTGTGAACGCTGTGATGTGAGTGGTCTTTATCATGGAGATCCGACGAAAGGATCTTGTTTTTGTAAGTAAAATCAACACGTACTGATATTTTTTATTTTTATTTTCTAAATTTCAATACATTTCTTTATTAAACAACAATTTGTTTGTATTTGTAATTTAAAATTTTTTTCATTGATTTACTGATTTTATTAAATTAATTAACTCTAAAACATAAACATAGTTTATTAAAATTTTTAAATAATTGAATTCTATCCAGAAATTTCATTAAAATTTTTTAAATAAATGAATTCTATCCCGAAATTTTATTAAAAATAATTAAATTCCTACAAAGAATTTTGTTATTTTTAAAAATAATTGAAATTTTTCAAAGAATTTTAAAAAAAATTCTTCAAAATAATTGAATTTCGGGACAAATTTATAAAATTGTATTTAAAATAATTGAATTCTTCCAAAGAATATTATAACTTATGAAAATAATTCAATTTTTGTAACGAATTTTATTAAAAATTGTATTAAAATTAATTAGGTTTCAACGACGAATTTTATTATTTTTTATGAAAATAATTTAATTCTTAAGAAGAATTTCATTAAAATTTTTAAAATAAATGATTTTTTTGATAAATTAATTTAAAATAATGTATTGAAAATAATTGAATTTTTCTAAAGAAATTTATTTAAATTATTGAAAATAATTAAATTCCTTAAAAAAAATTTATTAAAATTGTACTGAAAATATTTGAATTCCAGATTTTATTTAAATTATTGAAAATAATTGAATTCCTACAAAGAATTTTATTAAAATTTTCAAAAATAATTGATTTCTTTTGAAGAATTTTATTGTTTATGGAAATAATTGAATTTCTGCAAAGAATTTTATTATTAATGAAAATAAGCGAATTCTTGTTAATAATTTTTATAGAATTTTTAAAATTAATTGAATTGTTTAGAAGAATTGTATTAAAATTTTTAAAAATATTAAGTAATCATAATTAATCAGTTAATTGTATTTTTATAATTATGGAATTTGAAATTACTTAAAAATTGAAATTGCATTTTAAATATAAAAACATAATAATTGAATTCATAAAAAATTGAATACCACGTTTCGCGAGTGTGATATTTGATAGTTATTTAAAAATTGTAAAGTTTACATAATTATTCCTCTTTTTTTACAGACGACCTGGCGATTGATTATCAATTTACATTTAATCTTAGCAAGAAAGAGGATCGTCATTACACAGCGATTAATTTTAAGAATTCGCCGCCTAAACCTGATGTCGACGCAGAATTCACAATAACGTGCTCTGTGTTCGCAAAAATGAATATCACATTCAAGAAGATCAACAGTCCCGAATTGCCACTTTTGCACACGAATTGTTCAACGTACAAACAACGTTTCTACAAAACCGATTATAATTTTGGTAGCGAGGACAACAATACACTCACCACTTTCTACGTATACGTTTATGACTTCCAACCACCATTGTGGATACAAATCTCATTCTCCCAATATTCAAAACTTAATCTTCAACAATTTTTCATCACATTTTCCACGTAAGTGTATTTGTTTTTTTTTTGTTCAATTGTTCGCTAATATTTTTCCATGGTTTTTTTTGTTGGGCAATTTTTTAATTTCTTTTTCTCTCGTTTTGAATTTTAAACATTTGTTTTTAAAACATTTAGGTATTTATTTTCCAATTTTTGGAGAGTAAAAAAATGTATAATTATGTTTTGAAAAATGGGGCGCGGCTTCTTTGTTTTCTTTGCTCGCGAATGCGTTTTCTTTTCTGTTATCCTGAACCTCAGGCAGTACTTACTTGTAAACTAGAGACTACATGACTCCGCACAGGTGTTTTTTCGCTCTTCTGATGGTGGCAGCATTCCTCTGGAAAATCAAACAAAAATACGACCTGTACCGAAGGAGGCAGAGGCTTTTCGTTGAGATGCAGCAAATGGCGAACAGAGCGTTCAGTCAAGTTCTGGTTGAAATTGAAAAACGTGACAGCAGCGATTCCGAAACTGATAGAAATGAGTCTGAATTGAATAATTCGCGGAAGAAGAAAAAGGTTCATCATCTTTTTATTCTTTTTAAAAAATATCTTCTTTTTAAAAATAAAAACACATTTTTCAATTAAAAAATTTTTATTCAGGATGCACCGAGTCCAATTGCTCTTGAGCCATGTTCAGGGAATAGAGCAGCGGTTTTATCATTGCTAGTCAGATTACCAACTGGTGGAGAGCCTTATACACCGGAAGGACAAAGTGCCGGTTTGGCGGTTGCTTCTGCCCTCGTAACATTGGGCAGTCCTCGAAGACCATCTCAAGAATTAACGACAAAGGAGCCGAAGAAATCGAGAAAATCAGCCAGCCAACATCCAGACTCCACGTGCATTTAGCGGTAAATTAAACAAAAAAAATAATATTAATAATAATTGAATAAAAACTCGCCAGGATAATGTTTAATTAGGAGACTTCTCAAAGGTCGTTCCACTTTATAAAATTAACTTGCGTCGATGGAAAGGTCCAATTTTTCCTCATTTAGGAAAAAATATTTATCGCTTAAGACTTTGGTGCCTTTTTTTTTATTTTTGCCAGTTTTGTGTTCATTTCTCCCTTTTTTTAAAAGAAGACTGGTCTAGCTGAAATTAATTAATTTACTAATTAATTAATATTGTATTCTAAAGTTCAATTTTATTTGAGCGAGTTTTTTTTCACGCCAAGCTAGAGAAAAACGTATTTTCAAGTTTTTTTTAATACCCATACGTATTCATTTTATATGTAGTAATATTATTTAGATGTTTGTTTTTAATTTTCTCTTCCGTTAGTTTACTGTAAAATCGTAAATTTAATGAATAGTTTATTACGAAATTAATAAACTAATTAAAGATATTGATTAATATTAATTAATATTAGTTTCTAGTGATAAAATGCTAATTTAATTAATATTGAAATCAATTAATTCCATCGATGCGAGAAATTGTACAGAATTGTATATATATATAAAAAAAATATTAGAGAGTCTTTTTGAAGAGTGAAACATTTTTTTTATTGTTTCATTTTTGAATGCAGGGCTAGGGAGTTTTTTTTTAATGACGAACGTCCAGGCTTTTTTCTTTGCAAATTTTTAAAAATGTTTTAATTTTTCCTTTTCTAATAATTATCTCAATGCTTCGGACGTTTTTCATTAATTTGACAAACGAATTTGTATAATTAAAATAATTAAATGGTTCCAAGAATATTTGGAAAATTTTCAAAATAGTGATTCTGAAACTTAATGGAACGAAGTCGTTGCAATAATAGTGATAGTTTCGTCTAGATTTTCACTTTCCATGGAATTAACTTCGTCCTTAGGTTTTTAATACTCAAAAAAGGAAAGCTTTGTTTTTTAGGAAATTTTCAATTTATTAGATTAAATAGTAATTTACTAATTTTGATATTGAATTCCGTTTCGTTCTTCCTTTCAAGAATTTTTTAGAAATCTTTCAATTCTTCTTTTAATTTTTTTTTTCAATAATTGGAAATAATCCTTGACATTCCAATTTTTTTTTTAAATGGACTGATTAAAGTTTAAAGAATTCATAGGAAAAAATAAAAAATCACACTGAAAATTAATTTTTGTGCAAAAAAAAAAAAATCTCAAGAACGAAATTGAACTCGAATGTAGTTTTAAGAATAGAATTATGTACAAAAAAAAAACGTCGGGCTCGATTAAAAAAGAAAAGAACGATATTTAAAATTTCGATACTCAGTATATATTAGAAGATTTTTGTAGAAAAAAATAGATGGCAGCCAGTTTTTCTAGTATAGAATGGAAAATATTTATTTTTATTCGATACTTTGATATACGAATGAAATTAGAGCCAAGGAATCGCGTTTTCAATAAATAAACAAACAAAAAAACACTTCGCTTCCCACGTCAAATTTTTTAATATTAATTACCAATTGTACTGACATTTTTTATTGTAAATAGTCGAACGAATTCGTATACGTTTGCACATTTTAGCAACAACAAACAAAAAAAAAGAAAGAAAAAATTTCTCCTAATTATTCTTGAGAGGGAAAAAATTATCCCCCTCTTCAAGGGTTGTGTAAATAGAAAAAAAAAACATTTTTTGAAATAGGGGAGAAATTTTTTTTTCCTTTTTTTTAAGAAAGTATTTACTATTTTTCTCATAACATATTCATTGCTCTTCTCATAAAATGCATTAATCGGTAGCGAATTGTGAACATTTTTGAAAAATGTTTTTCATAATAATTCATCGATTGTAGGGTTAATAATTTTTTTAAATATTAAAATTACAAAAGAAAAAAGAAAGGATATGAAAAGCGAAAAGTAAAAAGAAAAATGTTCAATACGTTTCGCTTTGTTTGTATTGTAATTTTTTATTGTTAAGAATAACAAATTCTTAAGATCGCTGTATATATTATATATATATGTAGGGTATGTATAAAAATTAAAATGCAGATCAATTATGAGTCATTTAAGAATTTTTTTATAATAAAATTCTTTTTGTTTTTTAATAAAACGGCTCTTTTGCAATATTAATTAAAATATTTTTCAAAGTATAAGGAAAACCGTTTAAATGTAAATAAGATTCTATATCTTTTTAAAATGTTATTAATTTCTCTTTAATTTTACATTTAAAGAAAAATTTCTCTTCTCTATTAATGTTAAAATTGATTTTTTTAATGATTGAATTATTGTTGTAATAAAGAGAAAGGGTCACAAATTGAAAATTTAAATTATTAAAATTAATTTTAAAGACGATCGGCCTAGAGGATAAAATTGTTTTAAATTAATGACTCAAAATGTGAAATGTATTAAATTATATTAAATCTGACACGAAGAATTACAGGAAAAATTTTTATTTTTTAGCTTTTGAAAATTGAATTTCTTGCGCACATATTGTCATTTTTTGCGAAATAATATTTCGACAATTTGTCTATGTAAATTTCTAGTATTTTTTTTTATAATTATTACATCGAATTGTAGTCGATGTATGAATTATAATAAAAAAAATGGTAAAAAGTTTTTAAGGATATGACAAATTCATTTCTATAAAGAAATACGTGAAATTGATTCAAATGAACAAAATTAGATCTTATTGAATAAAATTCTCATAATTTGTGAGGTAATTTTTGAATTTGTGCAATTTTTTTTCAATTGTACAAATTCATTGAAATTTTGATAAAAATTTTGAAATTTATTGACAAAAATTATTTTCTTTTCAAAGAAAAATTTAAACATTTCTCTGTATATTTTAACATTAAGGCTTATACCACATCGGATTGTATATTCAGCTTATTCTAGTCTTAATAATGTTGTGAGTGCGAATCTTAAAAAATGTGTGACAAGATTTATAGAAAAAAAAACTATATATATATGGTAGGAATGCGATTTGCCGAAAAGCAATTTTTTCACTTGCTATTTTAGAAATTTACTATAAATAACGATGGAAGAAATTATTTATTTCTTCGAAAAGAAAAGTGAATAAAATTAATTAATAAGAAATTTTTCTTAAGAATTTCTAAAAAAATGTGGATGTAGAATTTTCTAAACAGATCTGTTGTAAAAATTTTAATATTAAGCTTGATATTATTAAAGAGATATGTACATTATTCGGTCTGTAAGGTCGTTTAGAAATTTTTTCTCCTTGGATTTTTAATTGATCGATTCGAATTAAATAAATTTGTAATTTGTTTAATGGAATTGAATCAAACTTTTTATTTTCTATTTTGTAAATTAAATACAAAATTCAAGGGTTAACAATTTTTTGACTATTATTGACACGATTGTGTCATATATCCGGAAGTATTTTTCAATTCGAGCAAATTTAGTTAGAAATCCAAAATTTTTATTTTTACAATTAAATATTAATAAATGTCTCGATTGTTTTTATTTTATTTTCTATTTATTCATTTTTACTTTATTTTATTTTTATTTTATTTTTATTCTTATTTTATTTTATTTCTTATTTTGTTTTTATTTTATTTCTTATTTTGTTTTTATTTTATTTTTAAGTAATCTTATTTTATTTTTAAATTGAAACTTTTAAATTGCAAGAATTAAATGATTCGTAAGGATTAAAAATTTTAAAAAAGTGATTTCTAAATTTTTGATTGTTAAAATTGTAGAATTTTTTTTAACCTTAAATAATAATTGTAGTGTACCTTGTAATTGTAATAAGAAGGCAGCTCAAACATTTATATAAGACTGGCAAATGGCATTTTCCTAAAAAAAAGAGAAAAAGAGAGGAAAACGTATTTCGAAAAAAGAGTGAAACAACACACAACTGTATTTTTATGCTAAAAAAAAATATCTACATAGTCCACACATTGCGAATGAGACTGAATGCTGCGCGAATGACAGAACATGAAATTGTATTATAAAACAAATATTGTTTAAATAAATTGATATACATAATGCGAAATTATATTATTCTGTAATATACATTTTCTAAATTCGACAAATTTAATCGTTCCTTTTTTTTTGTCGTGAAATTAGAATATTGTAATTTTGAAATTATTTTTTATATTTTTACATTCTCGTTAAAAATAAGGTCTTGTTGTATTTATTTTTTTTACTTATATAGTTTAGAAAATGTATTTTTAATTAATTTTGTGTTAAATATTGTATTTAATTAATGTTGCGATTTTATTTTGTTTTTGTAATTTGGTTTTAATAATTATTTTTCTATTGTAAACGATCGAATTGATTCTTTGCGCAATTAACGAAAATAACTATAACTTTCATTAACTTGCGAAACTAATTTTATCATTTGCGATAACAAGTTAGGAATATTTTTTTATTTTTCAATTCTTTTCTCGACTTTATACTTGCGATGAATATATTTTTATTCAATTACTTGTAAAAAGTTAAATTCAATCGACTTTAAATTTGTAATTTTCTGTAATTAGCTTTATTTTTTAGTTCTATTTTTTTTATTTAATTTTATATGTAATTAGCTTTAAACAATTTTTACTAATATTTATAAGAAATAGAATTGGAAATTTGAAATTCTATTCTAATTTAGTGAATTAGTTTAACTTTTAATTATTAATTTTAATTGTTTACTTTTAATTAATTACTGTTTTATTTAATATTTACTTTTTGGTAAATCTTCTTAATTACTTTTGATCCTATTGATATTTCATTTAATAATTTAACTAATCAAAAACTATTTTTTTTTATTTAGTTGACAAATCGTAACTGGAGAATCAGCAATGTTCAGCCAAGGTCTTTTGTTTGTCGTTCTTCTGTCAATTTTATTGAGAAGTGGTGAGATGAATATAGTGCAAAAATTGACAACAAAAAAAGAAGAATTGTTATGAAATAATTTTTTTTGTCTTTGTTTTTTCCTTCTTCTGTTTTTTTAGGTGAAATGAAGAAACCGACGACTAGAATTTTTGGTGGCGAAAACGTGGATCGAGGAGATTTACCATACATGGCACTTGTGAAGCAATTGGTACGTGGCGATATTTGTGGCGGTGCAATTATCAGCGAGAGGCACATTTTAACTGGTGGAATGTGTGCAAAATATCATACAAGACCATTTGATCGTTCAATTGTCATTACTGGAACTGTTAGTTTGGATTACGGTGGAATAATTCATCGTATAATGCACGCAATCGCTCATCCTCTATTTCATAGACATTATCCGGATAGTATTCGTTATGATATTGGCGTTATCACTGTGAGTAATTATTTTTTTAATTTTATTTAATAATTTCTATTTTATTATAATTTTTAATTTTATAAATTTCAATTTTATTCCTATTTTATTATTAATTTCAATTTTATTGTAAATTTTAATTTTATTAATTTAATTTTATTTTAATTTTATTTTAAATTCCAATTTTATTAATAAATGAAAAAAGATTTTTAATTCAATGAAAGTTGTAGAAAAAATTAATTTTATGTATGTTTGTAAAATTTGATAAAAGAATTTTGCAATTTGTTTCAGCTGTGTGACGAGATAAAATTCAATGTCCTTCAAAAACCGGTGAAATTGCCAACTCATCCAGTGAGAGATGGCGAGGAAGCGATTATTTCTGGCTGGGGTCATACAGAAACTGAAAAAAATCCGGATATTTTACAAAAGTTGGTCACAAATGTCTATTCAGTAAAAACTTGTGCCAAAATGGCAGAGTCAAAATCATTTGCCGATGGAAGTCGAATTTGCACAAAAAGTGAGAAAGGAAAGGGATTTTGTAACGTAAGTTTTTTCTTTTAATAGTTATTTTAAAATTAATGCAAAGAACAGGAAAATTAACTACTAGAATCATTATTTTTTATTAGTATTTTTATTATTATTTTTTATTATTGTTTTTATTATTACTATTATTACTACTATTATTATTACTATTATTATTACAATTAATATTACTATCATTATTACTATTATTATTATTTTTATTATTATTATTACTATTATATTATTCTTACGAATAAGTTTTAATTTTTTAGTTTTTACATATTTTAGTTTTTAGTTTAATTTTTAGTTTTTATTTTAGTTTTTAATTTAATTTTTAGTATTTATTTTAGTTTAACTTTTAGTTTTTATTTTTTTAATAATCAAAAAACTCCAAAGTATAAATATTGATTTTTTTGTTAATTTTAAATAGGAAGAGAATTTAAAAATATTAATAATTATAATAGATTTTTAGAGATAATTTGATTAAAGAAAAAATTATTTTTCAGTTTGACAATGGCAGTCCATTGGTTGTTAATGGAGTAATAGTTGGAATTGCTTCATTGTTATATGGTTGTGGTACTGGCGAAATTGATCAATATGCCAATATTTATAGATGTATGAATTTTATTTCAGAGGAAATGCAGAGTGGTTGTTCAAATCCAAATTTTTATAATTTTCTTCTTGAATATTATAATAATAATAATAATAATAATAAAAATAATAATCATGATTATAATTTTAATCACGATATTATTGATAGTGACGATAATGATCATTTTGAAAATGATTATGATAATGGTAATCGTAATGCTCACTCAAAAATAAATTGTCAAACGTGTTTTGATCATTGTTGGGATAAAGAAATTAAAAGTGATTACACTCTTTATGTGTAAAATGTCTGTTGAACTAATTAAAGAATTTTATATTCTAATTAAAGAAAAGCGAAGAGAAAAAATTTTGTTCAGTTTTCTCCTATTCAACCTCCGGCGTTGAAGAATTAATTTTTTCTATTGTCTTTTTTATATTTCTGAATTGAAAAAGATAATATTAATTAAAATAATGATAATGCATAGAAAATGTAAATCATAAGAATAAAATTAATAATAATAGTAATAATGATAATTTAATAATAATAATTTTATTTTTTCGATTTAATTATTTTGTTTTTCTATATAAAATTCAAATATTACTTTTATTCTGCGCCAGGTATCTTATTTTATTAATAATATAATTATTAATATTAGTATTAAAGTTAGTAATTAATTTATTTAATATTAATATATTTAATAGTTCGGTAGATTTATATTTAATAGATAATATTACAATAATTTTAGTAATAATAATAGTAATAATAATAGAAATAATTATAATATTAAATATTAGTTTTTCTTAGTTATTTACGATTTAATTACTTTATTTCGAGTAACAAATTCAAATATTCCTTCAATTTGGCGCCAGGAATGTTTTCAAATAGTTCTCGATTCTGATTGGCTATTGGATTTTTCTTCCGCTCTGCGCACGCGCATCAGTTTTACGCGGCAAACTCCCCGTAAAAGTTTTGTCATTCCCTTCCCAACAGTGGAGGCTAATTATATTAATTAGAGTTTTCTTTGTCAAATACATTTTTTAGAGCTTAAATTATTATGGTTCACGTGTTAGAAAAGAAATCAGCATCTGCTTTAGTAAAGAAATATGGTAAATAGTAGAAAAAAAAAGTTTTTATTTTTTTGATTAAATTTCCGGAAACAAGCAACGCCATTTTGAGGTTAGTTTCTGTAAATTATTTCCTGACAAATATTAAATTTATTGTAGTTCATTTGTCAAATTATACTCCTTTATAGATTATTTAAACTTTTAGTAGCTTTTTTCCTTTGAATTAACCTAAAAAGAAATTGTTTCGAAAATGATAAAATTCATAAAATTTAATCTGAATTTCTATTGGTCATGCGGCATTTCTCTGGCATGTTGGCCATGTTTTGTCAGTTTCCTGTTGTCGAACTCCCGGCAAATTTTGTTAGTTTTTCTTCCATTGTTCTTGTTCTTTTGAACAAATATTTTATTATTTTACGTAAATTCTTATAAAATACTGTAAATATAGTATTCTCTTGTGTGTATTTTTGTGAACATGTGAAAAAAGTGGCGCTCGTAAATTTTGAGGTTAGTTACAAAATTTGGGAAAATTTTATAATTTATTTAACAAATTTTGTCTTATTTTCTATGTTGTTTGTAACATTTTTTGAACGTATTTTCTCAATCGACAAAAATAATTATTTTGTTCATTGTATTTTTCAAATCACCCACATAGCACAATAGTATGAGGTAAGGTTATGTTGAGTACTAATCGTAAGGCACATAAGGTTACACAATATTGCTGCGGTAGACCTGAGGTGAACTAAAAACTTCCGCCATGGAGGTAAGGTTACATGTTAGGGTGTGGTGAGTATATATGATAAGGCCATGGTAACCTTACACGTTAAGGTTAAGGTAACCTTACACGTTAAGGTTGATGTAACCTTACACGTTAAGGTTGAGGTAACGTTACATGTTAAGGTTGAGGTAAGGTTACATGTCAAGGTTGAGGTAAGGTAATTATTAAGTTGTAAGGTTGAGGTAAGGTTAAGGTAAGGTTGTGATAAATTTACCAGTTATGGAAAATATTGAAAAAATAATTAATAAATAAATATTCAATTAAAAAGTTAGTTTGTTGCTCCTCTCTATTTTGGAAACCTGACATGAAGCAGAAAATTTTGAAAACAAATTTGGGGGGACTGGGATTTGAACCCGGGATCGACGCGCATAAACCTATCATTCTAACTAACTGAGCTAAGTAGAGAACTGGTAGAAGGAAAATTAATATTGCCTTTAAGGAGTTAATCATCTTCTTGGTTCACCTTAAAGGCAACATTAATTTTCCTTCTGCCAGTTCTCTACTTAGCTCAGTTAGTTAGAATGATAGGTTTATGCGCGTCGATCCCGGGTTCGAATCCCAGTCCCCCCAAATTTGTTTTCAAAATTTTCTGCTTCATGTCAGGTTTCCAAAATAGAGAAGAGCAACAAACTAACTTTTTAATTGAATATTTATTTATTAATTATTTTTTTAATATTTTCCATAACTGGTAAATTTATCACAACCTTACCTTAACCTTACCTCAACCTTACAACTTAATAATTACCTTACCTCAACCTTGACATGTAACCTTACCTCAACCTTAACATGTAACGTTACCTCAACCTTAACGTGTAAGGTTACATCAACCTTAACGTGTAAGGTTACCTTAACCTTAACGTGTAAGGTTACCATGGCCTTATCATATATACTCACCACACCCTAACATGTAACCTTACCTCCATGGCGGAAGTTTTTAGTTCACCTCAGGTCTACCGCAGCAATATTGTGTAACCTTATGTGCCTTACGATTAGTACTCAACATAACCTTACCTCATACTATGGTGCTATGTGGGCAAATGATTTACGGATCACGTGATCGCTTCGTCATAGTTTTGATTTTTGGATCAGTTTTTTAATGAAATATTCAATCGATTGAGATGAGGTTTTTTTTGAAAAAGTGAAAAATAAAATGCGAAGGGAGAATAATTTTCTAAATTATTGATTTTTGTTTAAATTCTTTATTAAATATTAACAATATAATTTTGATCACGTGACTGAGTAGTCACGTGGCGTTGGAACTTTTCAAACACGTGTTCGGAGCAGTGTAAAATTAGCTAAACGAGAAAAAGTTTTTTAGAAATTACAGTTATTTTATTTAAATTTACAATTACAATTTAAATTACAATTTACCATTATTATAATTGTAAATTGTTTACATTTCTTTTTTTTTTCATTTCAGCTAACAGTATAGTTTTCGTCTCCATAAGTAGTAAAATAAAATTTAGGGAAAGTATAGTTAAGCTCTTGGAGTATATTTATCAGTGTAAGAAGAAAAAAAAAAAGTGTTTAAGAAGAAAAATTTACGGAATTTTGTTTCAAACATCGTTGGAAATTCGCAAATTAGCCAAAGGTAGAGTGAAAAATTTGAGGTTAGTCATTATTATTGCTGCTTGCTACAAGTAATTTATTATAAGGAACATCATAATTTTTGTACCCCTGCAAAATTATAGATCCCCCTCCCCCTCACTGAATCATAATTATGCAAAAATTTAATGATCCCTTCACTTGAAAATTAAATTAAAATTTAATTGAAATTAAAATTAAATTAAAATTAAATTTAAATTAAAACTAGTTTAAAATTAAATCAAATGCAGGCAACGAATTTTATTAAAATTTTTTTTAAAGAATTGAATTCCTGTGAAGAATTTTATTTGTGAAAATAATTGAATTTCAGAAAAAAAATATTATTATTTATGAAGATACTTAATTTCTTGTAAAGAATTTTATTCACAATTTTTAAAAAAATTCAATTTCTCAGAATTTTTTAAACCTTTTTGAAACTAATAAATTAAATTCTATCAAGAAATTTCATTAAAAAATTGAAAATAATTGTAATGCGACGAAGAATTTTATTAAATTTATTTTTAAATAATTGAATTCCTGCGAGAAACTTTATTTTAGAAAATAATTGTATTCTATAATTTTTAAAATTTATAAAGCTTTTTATCAAAATTTTTTATAATCGAATTGTCGAGAAAAATTTAATTATTTATGAAAATAATTAATTTCTTGTGAAGAATTTTATTGACATTTTTTTAAATAATTGAATTTCTCAGAATTTTTTAAAACTTTTTGAAAATAATTGAATTCCTGTGAAGTTTTTATTAAAATTTTGTTTAAATAATTAAATTCTTCTGGAAAATTTTATTAAAATAGTAGATATTAAAATAATTGAAATGATAAAACTTTTTGAAAATAATTAAATTCCTGTGAAGTTTTTATTAAAATTTTGTTTAAATAATTAAATTCTTTTGGAAAATTTTATTAAAATAGTAGATATTAAAATAATTGAAATGATAAAACTTTTTGAAAATAATTGAATTCCTGTGAAGTTTTTATTAAAATTTTATTTTAATAATTGAATTGTTTTGGAAAATTTTATTAAAATAGTAGATATTAAAATAATTGAAATGATAAAACTTTTTGAAAATAATTGAATTCCTGTGAAGTTTTTATTAAAATTTTGTTCAAATAATTAAATTCTTCTGGAAAATTTTATTAAAATAGTAGATATTAAAATAATTGAAATGATAAAACTTTTTGAAAATAATTGAATTCCTGTGAAGTTTTTATTAAAATTTTGTTTAAATAATTGAATTGTTTTGGAAAATTTTATTAACATTTTTTACAATAATTGTACTCCTAGGAAGAATGTTATATTTTACGAAAATAATTGTATTCTATGATCAATAATTTATTTATTGTAATGTTTTAAAATAATTGAATTCTCGAGAAAAATTTTATTATTTATGAAAATAATAGATTTCTTGCGAAGAATTTTATTCGAATTTTTTTTAAATAATTAAATTCTTTTGGAAAATTTTATTAAAATAGTAAATATTAAAAATAATTGAAATTTTGCTAAGAATTTTATTAAATTTTTTGAAAATAATTGAATTTTGGAGAAGATTTTTATTATTTATAAATAATAATTGAAATTTAAAAAATTTTTTTGAATATAATTGAATTTATGCGAAGATATTAATAATAATAATTTATATTACTGTTGAAAATAATTGAATTTCTGTAATCAGTTGTTTTAAAAATTTCTATTTAAATTCATTAAAAATTGATATTTTTTAAAATTTCAAATTGAAACCTTTGAAAAGTATGTCAGCATTGACTACTTAAAAATGTTGCGTCTTAATTTAAGACTGACCTCTTGCCTTAAAATAAGACATTCTTTTTCACTGTGTAATTTAACATTATTATTATTTGATTTTTCAAAATAATAATAATAAAAAAATTTAACAAGAATAAATAAAATATTTGGAACTTCTCAAAATATAAGCCCCATTGTAATAATACATTTTATCAAGA